CGCTGACATTTCTTCTTACTGAACTAGTCCTCGTATCCCTTGTCTCTCATATATCGCGATTGGTTACTATCTATCTTAGCAATGCTCTTGTGAAAGCTCAGCTCTACAGACACTTGGTATTCATGCAAGACCATTGTCATGTTGCAACAAAATGTCAGTTTTAAGTGCGAACAACCTTGCTACTACACCCAAGCATCTGTCACAACTGGTTTGTCCATAGACAGCTGGCCTCAGTCAGCTCCCAGCCAGACAATATACTACGTATCCAGAAGGGTAGTAAACGGCTTTTCGCCCGTGGCCCGTGGCCTAAAAGATCACAAACTGCCTTGTAATCCGCATGCGTGGATTCGAGTCTGCGTAGGGACCGGGCGATCTTTGCGGTGTGCTTTTGTTATCGTGCGGCTGTTTGTAGTTCCGCGACAGCAAAGCGTCGGTACTACGTACCGGCGTGCAGCTGATATCTTACCTTTTTCTACCTGATGTGATGTATCCATATTGCACAACTTGCAGACCCACCGCAAACGGAACCCATGATCTCTCAATGCTAGTGGCTTAACCCACTACGCTTGGAGTCACGACTGCATACGTACATGACTGATAGTTGTTGCACAGAGGAGTAGTAGGGGGAGTTGAATGGTATAGATAGAAATTCGTCCCATCTAGACGCACTCAGACAGCCATCACACTTCCGGAACAACACCGTACGCGTGGTTCATCTTTCCGAGAATCTTCAGAAGTGCGCATTCTATCTGACTCTAGTAAGACTCGAACCTGAAACTCGACTGTTTCCAGTCCGTGATTAAGACCACTGAGCTAATGGAGGACGGCAGCCACCATCGTGAATAAGTTACTAGATGTGATATAGCGCCACTCACTATCCACTGACTTGCACGTTACTGCGGTGCAAAGGATAGGGTAGATCCAACACCAAGTGACGAACTTACCAAACTTAAGCTGCCACTTACCTTATGGCATTATAAGCAGTTTGCTTTGCGTGCTGATTACAAAGGAGTAGTATGGGGAGTTTTATGGTATAGGTAGAAATTCGTGGGCGGCGCTATATCACGTCTAGTAGCTTATTCACGATGGTTGTTGCCATCCCCCATAGCTCAGTGGTCTCAATCACGAACTGGCAACAGCCGAGTTGGGGGTTCGAGCCCTACCAGGGTAGGATTGAATGCGCATTGTTGACAATCCTCGAAAGGCTTACGTTTTTTAGTTGAACCTCTGCTCCTTTAGCAAGATGTCTACAAAGAGATACTACAATGTCTGTTTCGCTTAATGCGTAACAACAGGTGAGTTCTGGAAGAACAACTTGTGTTTTCTTTGCCATGGCAACATGTCTGGTTGCAATACCCTAAGCATCCGAAATTTCCTGGTCCTAACGAACATCTATGTCCAGGAGTAATCTCACTACCCCCGAGACTTGCTTCGTGGTGATATTTCCTCTTCCTCAAGTTCAAGGTGACCACCAAAGACAGAACTTTCCAAGACTGCGACATAAACTGGCCGGGAGGATAGGACCACATAGGATCCCAGAGAATTTTGCCAGGAGTGCGTATGAGCATGGCAGCGAAGGATGGGAAAGTGTATTCGACTCCAGGGGACTAATTTGAAGGAAAAATTTGTAAAATTTGGGTTCAAAAATATCTCTAGTAACACTAGTCCAGGAATTATGTTGTTACATCACCATTGTAAATATATATATATATATATATATATATATATATATGCAATCACCTCGATCTGCAGAAATAGAGAGCCTTGGATAGAAGTTTCACTTTAAACTTACTCTGGGCCAACAAGTATTTGCAACGGCCGATCACAAGAAATGCAATGGAAATGTTGCATGAGGCTGCGACGCGTACCAGCCGCATCGTCTGGCGGTTGATAAACTGGAGCTTGGCTGACGGGCTGCATGGATTTCAGTTTGGCTGCTAACGCTTTGAAGCGCTTCTCCAACCAGTCGCGTAGTTGTTCCAGCTCATCACGATCCAGTTTGATCTCCAGTCCCTCAGCCAATGCTTTGAGAAGGTTGCGTAAATCATCATCCTGCAGCAAATCACAAGAGAAACGTAGCTGAGCCAGTCAAGTGGACAACGGATTGGAGTACTCGGGTATTTGTTAATTTAATCCCTAATATAGTTGAGCAATATTGTTTAATATATCACTTCTTAGGACAATGTATGATGGCGCATTGCAGACGGGAATTGTCACTGCAAGACCGAAGACCATAAACATTGGGATCCAGTTTGTGGCTTCACAGGACCTGGTTCGCTGCTGGCATTTGTGTCTTGTCTGCTGTCGCTACCCACCCCCATTGATTGTTCATGGCTTAAGATTCACGGTGGCTAGAAGCAGGGAGAAACCGGCAAAGACTGCTAGTGTATTGTGTCTTGGGAGTGTGTAAGAGGCAGACGAACTCTGGGTTAGTTTGGAAACGCACTTGGCAATTTAAAGTGCGAAGGTTAGTTCGAACGCTTAGTGGTGTGTTGCTTAGCTCTGACATGTTGCTTTACTCTTGGAGCTCGGTATTGTGGTAACGACGAAATGTTTCATTAAGAACCACGCCTTAGGTTTGGGTCCTTGAAATGTGTTAACTCTGTATGCTAAGAAGAAACGGGTCATTGGGGTTTGATTTTAGGAGCGGGCAACTCCCAATATCCGTCGAAGGCTAAACAATTTTGACTAGTATGTAGCTGTCTGGTTACAACTGCATACAACGCGACATTTGATTTATTCCTTGCTTTGAACCATTAGTCAATAATTTGTACAGAATAACCGTTTCGGTAGAGTCTTTTTACTTATCAAAATGGCTAGATGGTGTGACCATCTTGTGGGAATCTGAAGAATGATGTCATAAAATTTTCACTTATATGCAGCGCGCTGTTTTTACCACTGATTGTACTAATGTTCCCAGTGGGAAGCAAATTTTTTGTAGATCTCACTTGCAAATGCTAAATAGTAGAACTGTGTTACCACTTTGCTCAAAAATCTCGCGAGGCTGAAGATAGTCTGTACAACTTACTGTAGCGGCTAACTTCCTGTATAATTCCTCAATCAACCTACGCAACTCCGCGTTGATTTCTTTGAATTCTTCTCTGCCGATCAAATCGCATTGGGACGTTTTGTCCGCTTTCTAATGCGGGTAAGGGAAAGCGAATATAGGTGAGTTAATTCAGCTAGCAATGAACCACTGCGATTGTTACTTTTGCAACAACCTCACTGGTATAGACAGAGATCACCACCTGTGAATATGGTCAACACGTGACGTGAAATTGTTCGCAGACGCTTTGAGTGTGCCCTATTAGCGTTGTTTCGCCCTGCCTAACAAAGTAAAACAACCGATCGATGTGCCCCAAAAATTCAACAAAAAACTACTCGACACAAAGTTTTGTTCAAAATTGTGTTAGGGAACCGGACTAAATGAAGTAACAGAATGAATCGAGTTTGCAATAAGCCAAGACAAAAATGCTGGTAGTTTGTTATCCGACCGGAGGACTGTAGTGGAAAATCCCCAGAACGTTTTTGGAGAGTACACCAGAGACATTTTCTTAAGTTTCACTTCTTAGGACGTGTGGTTAATACGTAGGTTTAGTGGTCGTTTTGTGGTAGTTTTGGGCCCCATGCTGAGGCTGATGTTGCATTCATGATGCTTCTTCACCGCAGTTGGGCTAAACCAACTTACACTTAAACTAGATCTCTTTTTAAGCTGGATAAATTTCATTCCACTTCATTTGATTTGTTCTGCCTACCGGAATAATCTTCTATTAAATTTCCACGTTGTTTACGGTAATTGTGCTTATCTTCGTTAACCTTATTGCGTTTGTAGCACTTTCTGAGTCACTTCTGGACATTTTTTACTTCTGGCGGGTTCATTGCTAACCAACATAATTCATATGCTAATTTAGGGAAGAGTTGTGTCTGCATAGCCGTATTCTTTAACAGATATATTTTATTTGTTACTGTCATTTCAAGTGATTTGCTGTTGTTTGACATCCCAAGTGTGGCTGCGCTTGATGTGCATGTTGACAAGGTGTCTACCTGTCTATTACCCACTACCTCGTCCATACTGGCTCCAGGAGATAGTTGGTCGTTGCTGGAGGGGACGGGGTGCACGGTCCTTGTGGCCGTGCTAGGCTCGAAGAGCGGTTCCATGCAGTCAGTGTGGAGCGGACTACGGTCCAGCCACCTCCTTGTGTGCGCTTGATTCCCAAATACAGCGTGCTTGTGTTTGCCTGTGAAGGAGTGTGGGCCGGCTCCGTTGATGAAACGTGGCTCCTATCCACATTCTTCCCGGTCTTATTCCTTCGGGTTTACACTGGATATGGGGTGTGTGGATGGAGATGTGGGTGGTGGAGCGCAAGCCACCCATGGTCCCCTTTGTAGGCGCAGGCGTCCTGTGGCAGGCCACAGTGACAGGTAAATCCGAAACCGGATGCTGCCAACCATAGTGGTAGTTACAAAATGGCTAGAATATCCTGATAGAGGGACGGAAAGGTTACAGCTCTTTCAACATGTTTTTCAGCTGTGATCAGGCTCCGCGTTGAAGATCATGATGTATCAGGGCTGTCCTCACCTTTACTAATTCGGTCTTCCATTACATGTCTGGTAAAATAGTCTAGGTCGTTTGTAGTATAAAACCCTAACCAAGGCCCATCACCAAGTGATTTGAGACGATGAACTGTAATGATCATGTCAAGAGGTTGCCGATGGAAACCAGTTCTACGGAACCACCGATTTCTTCTATTGATCACAGCACCTGCTACAGAACGGAAGATTATTTTGTTACTGAGACAAGGAGTTACAATTGGTGTACATTAGTTAACCAGGAATAGATGTGGAGCAGATTAGTTTTAGAACAATTACTTTGGACTCTAACAATTAGTCAAATATGCATTGGGTTTCATTGAATGAGCTATATTAGTAAATACTCAAGTCCATCATCCGTTTAGAGGAGGCGCGAAGTAACTCTGGGGTCAGTAGCTGATGTTTTGGACGCTAGGAGGTAATTTCTGCCGGAAAAAAGAATGAGTCTACCGTAATAATGCGAATACTAATAAACCATTGTTGCAAAAAGGATAGGGGCATTTAAAGGTTAACGTAGCAGTTGTAAAGACGACCTACCATTAATCAAATTCCCTAACTCACGAGTAACCAACACATTCGCTCTAACAGGTTATACATGCTATATCGTACATAAGTACTGTTAGTGGAAGCCGTGACTCTATGGAATCTGTCGTGTCTTCTGCAACTTTCGTTACTAGAATGGTAGCAAAGGTTGAGTTTTGTTCTAATGCGATGCTACTAAATCATGGAGAACTCCGCCTTCCCTAGAGCCTAGTGGTATAAGCCACTGGATATTGGCGCAAGTTGCTGATAGTCACGAGCCCGGTTCCTGCTAGAGTCGAGGGAGGTGCATTATCAGAGTCTCAACAAGACCAAACCGTGATATGGCACTTTTCCGGATTGGTGTCAGAATATCCTACTTGGAAGCTATGTTGTTGAACTATCGATGCAATTATTTGGGAATCCACTACTCGCTTATAATCAAAACCGTGAATGGTCCCCGTTGATCACATCTCACCACTGTCCAGCCTAATTAGCAGAATATACAAATTAGACAACCTTTAATCGTTCACGGCAAAGCGCTTTATTGTCGAGTATGGATTAAATCGCCGGAGGCAAATATTTTCCCACGATCCGCATGTGTGTCGTTCTCGGTTTAGGCCGAAATACAGAGGCGATAAGATAAAAATTAACGCCATAAGGACACGTGAACTTGAGCTAACCGACTGCAGTCACGTTCGATAAGTGGTGGGCAGTTGTTTTAACACACAGCGTTGTGTGCATTACAGCCGCCTATTGCCCTATAAGGGTGTTTGTTAGAAAGACGAGACTTAGTTTTCCAGGGTGCATCAAAGTGAATTACACTGTGCGCCAGTATTTACATAACAGAAAGGAGAGGTTTAATAATACGCAAAGCAACTGTTTCTATCATGACGGCTTTATTAAGTTCAATTTTTCATTCAGCTAAGCAGTATGTTCCGTGCCTCGAATGTTCGCCTGTGCTTAGGCCATTGACTCCCTGAAATGGTGGAAAATAGGTCCTCTTGTCCATGGTATTCATCAGATACTAAAAGTCGATTGAGAGCTGTTCCCTTAATTAATATCTTGATGATAGGTGAAAGACACTTCTGTCTCAATGACCGAAATCATTAGTGTTACGTCTGTGGATAGTTTACTAAAAGTCGGAGTATAGACCCATTTCTTCACTATTAAAATCTGCCTACCACACATATTATTTCGGAAGGAAACTGGGAGAACAGCATACGAAAGTGCGTGCAGCGTATTGTTTGTGTGTCATGCATGTTTCAACTGACTCGGTGAATCGAGGGCAAAGGCAAGATGCTGTTTGCCATCCGTATGATGAGGAGGTTGCCGAAGGATCACACGACAGACTGCTACTTGTACCTAACTAATTTCATAAGATCTCCAACTGAAATAAGGACAAAATTCATTATCCTTGTTTATACAACAGACGTTAGTTAATTTTATTGCTGCGAATGCGACGAGTACAGATAACTGTGCTTACATACCACAAGCACAGCAAATGATAGTACTTAGCAGCATTTGCTAGAAACTTACTGAGAGGTCAACATCACCATGTATGTTCATATAACAACTTGGTTATAGAGACTCACCTAGTCGGAATGAAGGAACAAGTTGTGGGTTTTATACGCACACAGACAGTAACCGATCGAACTGAGCTTTCCTCTCCTAAGATTCTACGCGCGAGCTGAATCGAGTACTTAGAGGTACCGCTGATATCGTAACATGCTTACATGATCTCCTGAGAGAGCTAGAGTGAGAGAGAGAGAGAGAGCGAGTGAGTGAGAGACCGAAACGAACCCACCGCATTCAGTGATATTGTTTGCCCAACAATGAGCGAATACAGCGTTGCCCAGCCTCACTTGTGTAACCTGACTGGTGCCGTATATGATTGTTTACACCGAAACAGTCTGCGTTTGCCAAACCAAAGAAGCAAGGTGTAAGCAAATGAACCGGCAAAACATGTGTAGGTAGACGTAACCGCGCGGAACGTGAATGTTTTGAATCACAGAGGCTGTGGAGGATGAAGGGAATACCGTTAAATGAGATTATGAGTGCGTACCTGAGCGAAAGTGTCTGAGCCTAACGTGGTTTCACTTGCGAGATCTGGTGGGGACATGAGTACTCATCACATATGTAACTTAAACATTGATTACGGTTATACATTGCGCACTCATAGTTGGAATCCCTGGTGCCGCGTTATCATTGCAGATGCCACGTGGATCGGTTCTACGGTATTACTGGAATGGGAAGTACAGTGGAAGATTACCGCAAAACAATCGCTCCGTCTGACTTTCAGGAAATTCCAGTGTAGTATTTCAGGAGGAATTGATCGCTTGCCTGGTGCGGTTGCAGGTTCATATGAAGGTATATGTTGTTGTGGTTTAGACGAATGGCTTACAACCTCTGTGTGCTGGAGGCCCTGGCAGTTACTCGGCCCACTGTTGCTCGATTTCGGCTGAATAAAGACAATTCAGAATGCCGCAAACATTGCGCCGTAACCTACAAAGACGTGCACTTCGGTGACAACACGAAAGCTGAAGTTTCTACAAGCAAGTTACCGACATCAATTGAGATGCCCAAATATTGTACACCTGCGATATAGAAGCAAATGTTGGTAGCTCAGGTTGTTCCGTTGGTGGTCTGAGTGTTCGCTGAACTCGGCAGGTTGACAGCAAACGTTTCGTCACCACTCGAGGTGACATCGTCAGTGCGCGTGTAGTTAGCAGAGTGCAGAACGTTAAGATCCTAGCCCGTGGAAATGCGAGGCAAGTTAGAGAATCCTTGGAAGCATGGTATTCTACCTATAGTTCAATAAACCGACACTTCGAAATAGATGCTACATATACAGTACTACGGATGAAAGATCCCCGAATTAACAGAAGAAATCTAACGGAACAGAGCGCTAGACTACTGCATCAAACGAGGACAAGCGAAGAGTCATACGCGCGTACACTACGAGTTGAGGATAAGAGATCGATTTCTATGGTCATGTGCTCGTCGAATAATCCAAACTCAGACTAGCGG